AATGTGAACACTTGCACTAGACCTGGTCAGGATTCTGGCTGCTGAATTTTGGACATACTGCAGTTTGTTCAGAGTAGATTTAGATACCCCAGCGAGTAGAGCATTACAATAGTCAATTTGAGAGAACACAAATATGTTGATCAGCTTTTCAGCCACAGATAGTGACAGTATGGAACAATTACAATGTAACATCCAGATAAATTCATAACAAACAAGCATTATATTACTCTTTTTATTTTTATGTGCTTAATCTAAACGTTTTATCCAACAGACTGGTCCCGCTCAAGAGTATAGCTTCATACTCATTAACATTAGCTATGTAACCCATTAAATTTGGTCACTGTAGTTATAATGCCTTTAAGTGGTCTACTTTTAGGTTTTACATCGATTTATGCATTTTAAAATAGATGTTATGCATTTTAAATGCCATTTCCCCCCATCTGTTGCATTTTTTTCCTGCAGTTATCAGGGATTTAGACTGGGGTAGAAATACTGCACACAAACATAGATAAACATTTCACCATATCAATTTTTTTCTCATGTCAAAGTGAAAATATAGCCATGTGTGTTTGTTGGTTTATGAGAGACAGTAGTTTACTCATTAACAAAGAAAAGACCGGTGTGTGAGGATCATTGTCAATAGAGAACTAACCATTTGGCTATTATCGCGTGACAATCACAGTTAATGTGGTAAGCTGCAGGGATGTGCCCTCTCTTGCTGTTACACAAAAACATCACAGATGCAGTTGTTGAAGTCACAAATTTGTGTTCATTCCATTTCATAACAAAGCACAACAAGTTTGTGCTCGTAACAAAGCTCCCACTGTCAGTGGGCTCTGTGCTGTGGATAATGAGCTGTTTTGCTCCGATCCATGTTTATGTAATATGGCAAAGCACAGCCTTGGTACCACATTCTTTTTTCAAAGACCACTGTTCTCATGCCTGGTACTGGTGGAAGAGTTGTACAAAGCAGCTATTATTAATAAGAATAGATGCTGTCTGCTGAGTAGCTAGTGGTGGTCACATTCATGTACAGTAATACCTCCAAAGTTGTAAAATATGTAAAATATGTTTTTAATTGCAGTGTTCCTGGGTATAATTTAAGTTTTGTACAGATGAGCTCATAGTACGATACACCTTAGAAATTGAAGTTGTTGTTATTTTCTTAGGTTTAGCACAATTGTCCATTGGGAATCTGTTGTTAATGTTCTGTTACAAGAAACCTTCTAGAAAAGTACATACCTTATGTGTCTTTTTAACATCTTAAGTCACAACCAATACTACACTTACCATTCAGTTTCTGTGAGATTTTAATGAGCAAGATCACTGAAGTTATACTAAATTATTACTGTAGCTGGATGGAGCTGAGCTGAAATTTTAAAAAGGGGACTAAAATATTTTATTAAAATGTATCATTTCATTCCCATGTTTTTTTCCAGTACTGATGCTTAAACACCTTTAAAGTTACAGTTGATCACTGAAACTGTAAGCCACTAAGTGCAATGTAATTCAGAGAAGGGTAAAGTTATCAACAAACTAGTTATAAAATGAAGAAAGTAATGATGGTAAACATTTATATAAGTCAATAGTCACATCAGTCAGTCACAACAGTATCTACCTAGTTATACTACAGCAAATATACAGTGTTATTCAAATATACTTAAAACAATTTTTTAGGATTTCTGTGTCTACGGGCTTTATCACCTGAAACAATGAGCACCAAGTCCCTGTAAAAACAATGTTAATTGGTAAAGCCTTTGGAATTTTAAGAGGCATAAGCATTCATTCAACAATGATCTGAGAAACAAGCCTATCAGAAGAATTTCAATTGAATCTTTCATCATGAGTAGTCATTCATAGCTAGACGTCTGATAGACCTTGAACTATTTTACTACACTTCCCCCATTTCCCCCATATCATATTGTCTGAACATTACAGCATTTTTTATAGGCTGTAAACATGTGTAGCTTCAAAGACTGCCGCTGCACAAAGATTATCATGGTTATTTGATAAGAAAGGCTAATAAGTGAGTTGTTACACTGCTGCCAGTTGTTGTGCACTTCCGCAGTCAGAATGACTTGCTGAGATCTAACTGCAGGACTTGGGATTCAGGAGGCTTCGAGAAGGGTAAGATAAGAAGAGTGGCAGATGCAGACACAGAGAGGGAAGTAGGCTGACTGGGATGCCTGGAGAACTAATGCTGATGGGGAAGCCTGTAGTGAGGCTGACAGGAAAAAGTAAATTACTTCTTCAAGACATACAACATCATTTACAGGTTTATCTACAGAATGTCTTATTTCTTTACTCTAACCACCTGTCATATCTGTTAGTGGCCCCATGCAAAAGCAAACCAGGTGATTACAGTCATTAGCACTTTATCACCACACACCTTAGCTACACAGTGATAAATCTGATTATAGAGCAGATGTTCTGTGACTTACACAAGTACTAAACAAAACTAGTACAGTAGCGGACAGGAAAAGGGATAGGTATTGGAACAGTAGCTGCTGTTATAGAGGGGGGAATCCATAAATTATGTGAAGAGATCAAAATCACAAATATCCTTTATAATTGGATTTGTTATTACATGTTGTTTTTAGAGGTGCTGCAGTAAAGTGAGATATTGTCTAAAATCTTTAAGGGCTTTACAGTAGGATATTTTGTTTAGGTGAACAAAAGTCTAGGCTTTGGTTTCTTTAGTCACCCAGGCCACCTTTGATGTCATAGTAATACTGAATTCACCTGGGATGTACATTGGATATAACCTCCTAATCACATTACGATCATCACAGTTACGTAGAGCATGGAATAAGCCACCCAGCCAAGAAGAAATAAGATATCAAGAGAGGGTTTTTTGGAGGAGGTGTAATGCGGGTCTATTTAAAAATGGAGGAGAAAGCGAGAGGTGTTACTGTAAGTTAAGGGGAAACAAAGGGAAGGAGATGGGGGGCAGCAGTGAAGGTGGAAGCTGGTTTATGACCCTGAAAGAGGGGGGACCAGTAGTAGAGGCACAGTAGGAGATGGAAACGAGTGAGTAGGCTGAAGGTGGAGAGTGGTAGTGTGGGAACAGATGAAACATTAAGCCTCTGCATGAAGATTACAGAGAAAAGAAAGGAGGCAATTTTTTTGGATGCGATGGTTTGAGGGATGAGTAGGAAGGAAAAGACAGAGAAAGGATTTCAAGGGTTTTGGGTAGAAAACTGGATGAATGATTGAAAAAGATGAATGCTAACAGTGAGTGCTTTTGGGTGAAGCAAAGGAAAAGCAATGGAGAACTGAGGCAGAGGGCAATTTAGATGTCCTCCATTTATTTTCAGCTCATGGAGCTTGGTTCTCACTGAACAGGAAACAAAGGAGACTCTGAAATGCGAAAGGTAGGTAAGGGCAGAGTGAAGCAGAAGGAGCCAAAGGATGAACTACTGTAAGAGCAGAGAACAGAGTGGAATTAGGAGAGAATGAGTAAATGGGAGGTGGGAGAGCACAGTGAAACAAAGGTAATGTAATAATGTTATTTTATAAGCCATATACAATTTCTTGCATTAGGAATTTGTCTTTTCACATACCCCAGCTTGCTCTCCAAGAGACACAGAGACAGAGAGAAGCTTGAGGTCAGAGCACAGGGTCAGCCATTGTACAGTGCCCCTGGAGTAGTTGGGGTTAATGGCCTTGCTCAGGGGCCCAACAGAGTAGGATTCCTCTGCCAGCTACAGGATTTGAACCAGCAACCTTCCACTCACAGGCACAGATCCTTAGCTACAGAGCCACCACTCCACCCTCCTAGGTATAGGAGGAGACAGAGAGAGGAAAAGTAAGTAGAGGTAAGTGGAGGAGGAAACATGAGAGAGGGAAGGATATGAAACAGGGATTGGAATAGTCTAGAGGTATCGCATAGAGTATAGTGGTTGGGTAGTTTCCAGAGAAAATAAGATCTAAATGATGACCTGCTTTGTGTAGGGCAAGATGGAGAGATTTTGAAAATGTTTCGAAGTGGAAGTAGTTTTGTCAATGCAGTGTGTCAAAGGCTTCGATGGGAGGGCAGGTTGGAGGAGCAAGTCTGTCCCTTTCTAATTAGTTCAGGTGGGTAG